AGTCTATAGTCTAGTCTATAGTCTAGTCTATAGTCTAGTCTATAGTCTAGTCTATAGTCTAGTCTATAGTCTAGTCTATAGTCTAGTCTATAGTCTAGTCTATAGTCTAGTCTATAGTCTAGTCTATAGTCTAGTCTATAGTCTAGTCTATAGTCTAGTCTATAGTCTAGTCTATAGTCTAGTCTATAGTCTACTATATAGTCTAGTCTAGTCTATAGTCTAGTCTATATAGTCTAGTATAGTCTATCATAGTCTAATAGTCTATATAGTCTAGTCTATAGTCCAGTCTGTAGTCCAGTCTGTCGACTAGACTGTTCTAGTTCTGTTATAGTTCTGTTCTAGTTCTTTTCTAGTTCTGTTCTAGTTCTGTTCTAGTTTTGTTCTAGAGTTTTTCTAGTTCTTTTCTAGTTCTAGTTCTGTTCTAGTTCTGTTCTAGTTCTGTTCTAGTTCTGTTCTAGTTCTGTTCTAGTTCTGTTCTAGTTCTAGTTCTGTTCTAGTTCTGTTCTAGTTCTGTTCTAGTTCTGTTCTAGTTCTGTTCTAGTTCTGTTCTAGTTCTGTTCTAGTTCTGTTCTAGTTCTGTTCTAATTCTGTTCTAGTTCTGTTCTAGTTCTGTTCTAGTTCTGTTCTAGTTCTGTTCTAGTTCTGTTCTAGTTCTGTTCTAGTTCTGTTCTAGTTCTGTTCTAGTTCTGTTCTAGTTCTGTTCTAGTTCTGTTCTAGTTCTGTTCTAGTTCTGTTCTATTTCTGTTCTAGTTCTGTTCTAGTTCTGTTCTAGTTCTGTTCTAGTTCTGTTCTAGTTCTGTTCTAGTTCTGTTCTGGTTCAGTTCTAGTTCTGTTCTAGTTCTGTTCTAGTTCTGTTCTAGTTCTGTTCTAGTTCTGTTCTAGTTCTGTTCTAGTTCTGTTCTAGTTCTGTTCTAGTTCTGTTCTAGTTCTGTTCTAGTTCTGTCCTAGTTCTGTTCTAGTTCTGTTCTGTTCTAGTTTGTTCTAGTTCTGTTCTAGTTCTGTTCTAGTTCTGTCCTAGTTCTGTTCTAGTTCTGTCCCAGTTCAGTTTAGTTCTGTTTTAGTTCTGTTTAGTTCTGTTCTAGTTCTGTTCTAGTTCTGTTCTAGTTCTGTTCTAGTTCTGTTCTAGTTCTGTTCTTCATCTGTCTGTTTGTTCCGTTCTTTTCTAGTTCTGTTTTTCTTTTATTTTGCAATAGAATTTTCCTAAGATTTAAGCATTTTACAAGTTCTGTGGTGGAAAGAAATAATAACTTAACTACTGTACTTAATATGCTTTCTAAATAGCTGTAGGGCATTAAATATTTTCCATAAACAGAAAAAAAACTAATATAAAAACTAAATACTTTAAGAGTCAAATACAATTCAATTAGCAACTATTAACAACAAAAACAAAAAAACGAAGAAGAACCTAAACTTTGAAAAAGAAACAACAAAGTCAACCAGAACCATAAATTAAGATCATGTAAATAACCCTACTTATACATACGAGTAATAATAATAAAAAGAAATGCAAGACAAAAAAAGTGAGAGTCATAAAAAAATCCACAGACACGCACACCCAACATACAGACAACTATTGATCTAGAGAAATTGAGCCAAGAAGCGATCGATTGAACGTTTGAACTGAAAGAGCAACAAAAAAAAAAAATTGTTATCAGTAAACAACGTATTTGTTGTTGTAGTTGTTGTTTATTGTATTTATCAGTTTTAAAAAAACCAGTATTTTTTATTTATTTTACTCTAATGACCGGCTGTTAAAGAGAAATGATCATGAAATCAGTTTCAATTATTTAAACTAAAAGTGAAAAAAAACGATTAAAACTAAGAAACATGGACCCAGTTTTAATGGAAGAAGAAAGAAAACCAGTACAAAGTATTTGTTAAGTACTGTCACTTTAGTTGCTGAAAAGAATTGGGTGAAAATAAAAAAGAAAACTCGTAAATTACAAAGAAAAAAGTGAATGATAAATAATTTTTTTTTTTTTTGACCAGACGGACAGACAGACATACACTCTCACACACGCTAGCCAGCAAACAAGCAAGATCGTACGGCTACGCATGCTCTGAATGAGTAAAATTTGTTTAAACTGAGAGTGTTGATCATGGGGTTTGGGGGGGGGAATGAGAAGAGTAACCAAAATGTTTATATTTTTTTGTTGGTTTTTTTGAAACCTCTACAAGATTTGATTTGATATGTATGGTGTCTGTTGTTAAACTGCCACTGTTTTTAGTGGTCAGTTTAGTTGGCTTTAAGCCATTAACACGATCGGTTTAACACAAAAAAAAAAGTTATTAAAAAAATCTAAACATAACAAGAGAAAAAAGCTTTTTAAAAGTTTAAACAAAGCGATTTATTGAATGAAAATTATAAAAAAAATCATAAATAAACATAACAACATAAACGAGAGTGAAAATCAAACAAATTAACCGACAAAAAAGTGTCAAATTTACACAAAAAAATTAACATATTTTTTGTTAAAATTAAAGAAAAAAAAACACAAAACTTCAAAAAATTCCAAAATAAAAGCGAAAGTTTTTTTTTGCTTAAAAAGTGCTTTAAAACTATAATAATTTTAAACCCACAACAGAGCATTTCATTTTAAACTAAAAATCCTAAATAAACAAAACAACCATGCCCACCACCTCCCATCCCCGTTTGGTATTCTATTTGCTGTGCTTGGCCTCTTTGCTGGCAGTGGCCCGTTCTGAAGCTGGTAGTAAAAAAAATTCTTATTTTATGTCGTATTTTTATTATTTGATTTTAAATTTCGTAAATCCTTATGCTTTTCCTATTTACCAACGAATTGTACATATGTGTTTAAATTAACCCACAACAACAACAAAAAAAATGGTTAAAAAAGGAAAATAACTTTATTTAAAACCGTTAAATTTATGTTTAAAATAAATTTAACGGTTTTAGAAAAAATTAAATTTTTTTTAAAAAAAATCTGTGTTATTTCAACTAAAAAATAGCTAAGAAGCTGTATATAGTTTAAATTTATTATTAAGTGTAAATATTAGTTAATATGTTTAAGAATTAAAAAACAAATATTTATTTTTTATAAAAAAAATTTAAAGTGTTTTGAAAATGATCTACGAAGTCAAATTTTTAAAACGAAAACTCGTTGTTAACGAGTAGTTCTTAAACCAGAAATGATTCACAACTAAAGTTTAAGTTAAATAAACTGCTCTAGAACTGATCAAGAACTGAACTAGCACTTATCGAGAAATGATCATGAGCTGACTTTGCTTTGATCTAAAGTTAAACTAAACCAGAAATGGAACTTCTGATCAGGAATTTAACTACTGATCAGGAATTTAACTACAACTGATCGCGAACTAAACCAGAACTAAACTCAAACTGACCAAGAAATAATAAAGAACATAGATAATGGTTCAGAATTTATCGAGCACTAAGCTAGAAGACAAGACAGGACGGAAAATTTATCAAAAGCTAAACAGATTTGATCCAGAAGTGAAGTAGAATTGTTCCACAACTGAACTATATTTGAACTAAAAAGGAACTAGAACGGAACTAGAACAAAACTAGAACAGAACTAGAACAGAACTAGAACAGAACTAGAACAGAACTAGAACAGAACTAGAACAGAACTAGAACAGAACTAGAACAGAACTAGAACAGAACTAGAACAGAACTAGAACAGATCTAGAACAGAACTAGAACAGAACTAGAACAGAACAAGAACAGAACTAGAACAGAACTAGAACAGACCTAGAACAGAACTAGAACAGAACAAGAACAGAACTAGAACTAGAACAGAACTAGAACTGAACTAATATAGAAGATTATGAACTGATCAAGAACTGAACAGGAAAATATGTGACCAAGAAGATATCACAAATTATTGATCCAGAACTGAACTAGAAATGATCGGAAAACGATTAGGAACTGATTAAGAACTGAACTAAAATAGAAAAAAGAGACCAAACGTTGATCAGAAGTGAACAACAACTGTTCCAGAATGATCGAGAAAACGATTAAGAACAGAATTACAATTGAAAAAAGTGATCAAGAAAAGACACAAAATCGTCAAAGTTAATACAGAATAGATCTGGTACTGAACTAAAAATTATCGCGAAAAGGTGATGATCAAGAACTGAACTAGAGCTGCAAAATTGTGAACTGATCAATAACTAAAATAAAATTGAAAAAAGTGACCAAAAAGAGATTATAAATTGATCAAAAGTTAGACTAGAATTGATCCAGAATTGAAATTGAATGGTTCCAGAAGTGAACTAGAAATGATCAAGAAACGATAAACTGATCAAGAACTGAACTTGAATCGCAAATTGATCCAAAGTTAAAATACAATTGATCTAAAATCATAACTGAATTGTTCCAGGACTGAACAGAAATGATTTACGAACTGATAAAGAAATGAACAATGTGACCTAGAAAAGAACACAAATTGATCAGAAGTTTAGCTAGAATTGATTCACAAGTGAACCAAAATAATTCCAGAGCTGAACCAGAACCGAATTAGAACTTTAGTAGAATTAAACTAGGACATACAATAATCGTAAATATAGCGAAATTATAAAAAATTGTACTTGAACTGAAAATGATCTATAAGTTAGAAGAGGTCTACAACAGAACTAGATCAGAACTACAACAGAACTTGAACAGCACTAGAGCTAAAACAACTATATCTAAACTTGAACTTTGAGTAAAGTTGAATTTCTGGTTAAAAATAGATTTTTTTTGTGAAAAATCGAGTTGATGGTAAAAAAAATCTAATTTTTAGTGAAGACTACTCGATCACGTATGCGGCAATTCGACTTCCAGATTGTAGTACAGTAGGTACCAATAAAGGTACTTTTTTAAAACTTGTAATCTGGTACAAAAATTTTATCATTCTAAGTACTTTTTTTCTAATTTCAAAACACTTTAAGTTCTATGATTTTTAGTATCTAAATAACTTTTTATTCCTTATTTGTATATTATTCTTAAATACCTGTATATTTTTCTATTTTTATAAAAAAATGGTAAATAAGGCTTTATGTAAATACGGTACAATTGTGATTTTTATTATTTCTTTTCTCTATGTTTATAAATGTTAAGTTTTAATTTACGAATCAAATATAAACTTTTTATTTAATAAAGTTTAATTTGTTTACGATATTTTTTGCATAAAAATAAATGGTTGCTGTCATAAAATTACAAAACGAAAAATATTTATTCTTTTTTTATTTTTTTATTTATTATTAAAATTTTTTATATATTTTCTAATTAAAAAAAGGGGATTGTTTTTTTGGTACATTTGGAAATATGAAAATATAAAAACTAGATACTAAAGTGACCTTCAAACTAATCATGACATATTTGTTTCTGAAACAAGTTTTCAATAATTTAGAATCTTTTTTAAAAACTAGAATTTTCGTCTTTTTGAATAGGAAGTTAATAGAAAATTTATGATTATTTTATTAAGATTAATTTAAATAATTTATGAATATGAATTGGGTTTCAATAAAGTGCCAAAAAGTTTCTAAATTTAACTTTGGCAATAAATGCATGTCTAGGTTTTGAAATCAAACAAGAAATAATATTTTAAAATAACAATTTTATACTAATTTTGAAGGCGCGTGCTAAATTTAATACAGTGGGTCTAATAAAGGAAATTTAGAACTTGTTCAGTTCTAGTTTAGTTCTAGTTTAGTTCTAGTTTAGTTCTAGTTTAGTTCTAGTTTAGTTCTAGTTTAGTTCTAGTTTAGTTCTAGTTTAGTTCTAGTTCAGTTCTATTTCAGTTCTAGTTCAGTTCCAGTTCTAGTTCAGTTCTAGTTCAGTTCGAGTTTAGTTCTAGTTCAGTTCTAGTTCAGTTCGAGTTAGTTCTAGTTCAGTTCTAGTTCAGTTCGAGTTTAGTTCTAGTTCAGTTCTAGTTCAGTTCTAGTTCAGTTCTAGTTCTAGTTCAGTTCTAGTTCAGTACTAGTTCAGTTCTAGTTCAGTTCTAGTTCAGTTCCAGTTCAGTTCCAGTTCAGTTCTAGTCAGTTCTAGTTCAGTTGTAGTTCAGTTCTTGTTCAGTTCCAGTTCAGTTCTAGTTCAGTTCTAGCTCAGTTCTAGTTCAGTTCTAGTTCAGTTCTAGTTCAGTTCTAGTCCAGTTCCTAGTTCAGTTCTAGTTAAGTTTCTAGTAAGTTCTAGTTCAGTTCTAGTTCAGTTCTAGTTCTAGTTCTAGTTCAGTTCTAGTTCAGTTCTAGTTCAGTTCTAGTTCAGTTCTAGTTCAGTTCTAGTTCAGTTTCTAGTTCAGTTCTAGTTCAGTTCTAGTTCAGTTCTAGTTCAGTTCTAGTTCAGTTCTAGTTCAGTTCTAGTTCAGTTCTAGTTCAGTTCTAGTTCAGTTCTAGTTCAGTTTTAGTTCAGTTAGTTCAGTTCTAGTTCAGTTCTAGTTCAGTTCTAGTTCAGTTCTAGTTCAGTTCTATTTCAGTTCTAGTTCAGTTCTAGTTCAGTTCTAGTTCAGTTCTAGTTCAGTTCTAGTTCAGTTCTAGTTCAGTTCTAGTTCAGTTCTAGTTCAGTTCTAGTTCAAGTTCAGTTCTAGTTCAGTTCTATTTCTAGTTCAGTTTTAGTTCTGTTCTAGTTCTGTTCTATTTCTGTTCTAGTTCTGTTCTAGTTCTGTTCTAGTTCTGTTCTAGTTCTGTTCTAGTTCTGTTCTAGTTCAGTTCTAGTTCTGTTCTATTTCAGTTCTAGTTCAGTTCTAGTTCGGTTCTAGTTCAGTTCTAGTTCAGTTCTAGTTCAGTTCTATTTCAATTCTAGTTCAGTTCTAGTTCAGTTCTAGTTCAGTTCTAGTTCAGTTCTAGTTCAGTTCTAGTTCAGTTCTAGTTCAGTTCTAGTTCAGTTCTAGTTCAGTTCTAGTTCAGTTCTAGTTCAGTTTTAGTTCAGTTCTAGTTCAGTTCTAGTTCTAGTTCAGTTCAGTTCTAGTTCAGTTCTAGTTCAGTTCTAGTTCAGTTCTAGTTCAGTTCTAGTTCAGTTCTAGTTCAGTTCTAGTTCAGTTCTAGTCAGTTCTAGTTCGTTCTAGTTCAGTTCTAGTTCAGTTCTAGTTCAGTCTAGTTCAGTTCTAGTTCAGTTCTAGTTCAGTTCTAGTTCAGTTCTAGATCAGTTCTAGTTCAGTTCTAGTTCAGTTCTAGTTCAGTTCTAGTTCAGTTCTAGTTCAGTTCTAGTTCAGTTCTAGTTCAGTTCTAGTTCAGTTCTAGTTCAGGTCTAGTTCAGTTCTAGTTCAGTTCTAGTTCAGTTCTAGTTCAGTTCTAGTTCAGTTCTAGTTCAGTGCAGTTCATTCTAGTTCAGTTCTAGTTCAGTTTCTAGTTCAGTTCTAGTTCTGTTCTAGTTCTGTTTCTAGTTCAGTTCTAGTTTAGTTCTAGTTCAGTTCTAGTTCAGTTCTAGTTTCAGTTCTAGTTTCAGTTCTAGTTCAGTTCTAGTTCAGTTCTAGTTCAGTTCTAGTTCAGTTCTAGTTCAGTTCTAGTTCAGTTCTAGTTTCAGTTCTAGTTCAGTTCTAGTTCAGTTCTAGTTCAGTTCTAGTTCTGTTCTAGTTGAGTTCTAGTGTCTGTTTCTAGTTCTGTTCTAGTTCTGTTCTAGTTCAGTTCTAGTTCAGTTCTAGTTCTGTTCTAGTTCTGTTCTAGTTTTAATACAATTCTTAATTCAATATGAACTACTTGTGAGCTTTTTGAGCACCGTAGAAACAAAAAAATATGTTTTTTAATTTTTTTGCACTCTTATCCCCACTGTGACCGCCTCGTTTAGCATTAACATTTTATTAAACTAAAATTGTTTCAAGTTTAAATTTAAATTAATATTATTGTTATATTATTATTTTTTTTGGTTTCTACGTCTTCTATCCAGCAACATGCTTTAACATTTGATTCATATTAATCAATATTGGCAATGACTTGTATCGAAAAACAAAAACTAAAAAAATAAAGAAATAAAATTTAATACCTTTGGTAATTTATTTATTAACTATTCTTAACACATATTCTATAAGTTTTTTTTATAGCAATAATAACAAAACTTCTTAAAATGTTAAAAGCAAAAAGAACAAGTTTCAAACTCGTGTAAGTTGTAAAACGTTCTGAAATTTTTATAACTTAAAAAGGGTTTGAAAAAGTCACAATAAATTTTATAGAAAAAAAAAAAACAAAATTACTTTGAAGGTCACTATAAAAAACATTTAATTTTTTTAATTTTATTTAGATGGTTTTTATTGTTGTTTTTGTATTTTCTCTATTTCTTCGCTTTTGTGTGTTTTTTTGTTCAAGACATGTTATTGACCTTAGCTAAGGTTAAGCGCTTAACTTGGCTTGGTACGTTTTCTGTTGTTGTTTTTGTATTTCCATCTATAAGTTTGTTGTGTTTTTTTTATTTTCTGTTTTTGTTTGTTATTGTTATTAGTTGTGTTTATAATTTTAATTAATATTAGTTTTTTGTTATTTTTTATTGTTTGTTTTTATAAGTGTAAAAGGTTAGTGTTACAAGAAATTTTGAAAAATATGGGGAAAATTTTAATGATTTGCTTCTTAGAGGTTCAAAATGTCAGGAAAAATAGAAAGATGCTAATTGTAAAATAAAAATGAGTTTTTTTTCAAATTGGTACTTTTAGACAAAAAGTACTTTTTGCTCTGGAAACCTTAATTTCAATTAGAAACATTGTTTTAACACGAAAAAAGTACATTTCGTTCTAGATCAGTTCAGTTCTAGTACTGTTCTAGTTTAGTTCTAGTTCAGTTTTAGTTCAGTTCAGTTCTAGTTCAGTTCTAGTTCAGTTCTAGTTCAGTTCTAGTTCAGTTCTTGTTCAGTTCTAGTTCAGTTCTAGTTCAGTTCTAGTTCAGTTCTAGTTCAGTTCTAGTTCAGATCTAGTTCAGTTCTAGTTCAGTTCTAGTTCAGTTCTAGTTCAGTTCTAGTTCAGTTCTAGTTCAGTTCTAGTTCAGTTCTAGTTCAGTTCTAGTTCAGTTCTAGTTCAGTTCTAGTTCAGTTCTAGTTCAGTTCTAGTTCAGTTCTAGTTCAGTTCTAGTTTAGTTCTAGTTCAGTTCTAGTTCAGTTCTAGTTCAGTTCTAGTTCAGTTCTAGTTCAGTTCTAGTTCAGTTCTAGTTCAGTTCTAGTTCAGTTCTAGTTCAGTTCAGTTCTAGTTCAGTTCTAGTTCAGTTCTAGTTCAGTTCTAGTTCAGTTCTAGTTCAGTTCTAGTTCAGTTCTAGTTCAGTTCTAGTTCAGTTCTAGTTCAGTTCTAGTTCAGTTCTAGTTCAGTTCTAGTTCAGTTCTAGTTCAGTTCTAGTTTAGTTTTAGTTTAGTTCTAGTTCAGTTCTAGTTCAGTTCTAGTTCAGTTCTAGTTCAGTTCTAGTTCAATTCTAGTTCAGTTCTAGTTCAGTTCTAGTTCAGTTCTAGTTCAGTTCTAGTTCAGTTCTAGTTCAGTTCTAGTTCAGTTCCAGTTCTGTTCTAGTTCTGTTCTAGTTCTGTTCTAGTTCTGTTCTAGTTCTGTTCTAGTTATGTTCTAGTTATGTTCTAGTTCTGTTCTAGATCTGTTCTAGTTCTGTTCTATTTCTGTTCTAGTTCTGTTCTGTTCTAGGTTGGTTCTAGTTCTGTTCTGGTTCTGTTCCAGTTCTGTTCTAGTGCAGTTCTAGTTCAGTTCTAGTTTAGTTATAGTTCAGTTGTAGTTCTGTTCTAGTTCTGTTCTAGTTCTGTTCTAGTTCTGTTCTAGTTCTGTTCTAATGCTGTTCTAGTTCTGTTCTAGTTCTATTCTAGTTCTAGTTCTGTTCTAGTTCTGTTCTAGTTCTGTTCTAGTTCTGTTCTAGTTCTGTTCTAGTTCTGTTCTAGTTCTGTTCTAGTTCTGTTCTAGTTCTGTTCTAGTTCTGTTCTAGTTCTGTTCTAGTTCTGTTCTAGTTCTGTTCTAGTTCTGTTCTAGTTCTGTTCTAGTTCTGTTCTAGTTCTATTCTAGTTCTCTTCTAGTTCTGTTCTAGTTCTGTTCTAGTTCTGTTCTAGTTCTCTTTTAGTTCTGTTCTAGTTCTCTTAAAGATCTCTTCTAGTTCTGTTGTAGTTCTGTTTTAGCACAGTTCAAATTAAATTTCCAGTTATTAAGTTCGGTAAAATGTCCCCGATTCCTCTACTAACACAAAATCTCATGTCTAATCTCCTTCATAAAACCTCCATTGTATAACGATTTTCCAAACAATTTCTCATCTCCAAAATCATGCTAATAAAACCATTCCATCAATTACTCACATTTCAGTATATGAAGATCCATCAGCACCCAGTGAAGATATAGCCTATGAGGCTACCAAACAATTGGCGCTACTAAATTATCGTTTAAATCTGCTAAGGCTTGAGGAAGAGGCCCGACAAATAAAGCTACCCAATATAACCTTCAATTCCCTGTTAAGTCGTATTCCCTGCACCTGCGACAAGGGTGTGTGCAAATGTTGTGCTGGTAAGAAAATCTTACTTTACAAATAATGTTCAATATCTTTAATATTTCTTTCTTCAAAGGTTTGTTATCCGTTATTGGCATGAACTCCTGCACCGAGGTGGTATATCGACCCGAGGAATTCTCTTTTGAATTGAGAATGCGTGTTAATAATAATGTTTGGTTTAAACGCAAAGTATCGGGTCAAAATCCTCCACCATTTTGTTTTAGACCTCCCCGTTTTGGTTTCGCCCAGGCCTGTATACAATTTCATGATATTTGGTTTATTGGTCGTAATATGCATGTTTGTATGGGTATGTCGGGCTCGTTCCAGGGCTATGAATTGTTTGATCGGTAAGATTTAAAGAATATTTCGAGCAGAACATTGTAATTCAATCCTTTTTTTTTTCGTTATTAGAAATTTTGATTGTTTGTTATTCGGCGATAAGGGCATTAAAATTCTTAAACCCGAACAGGGTTATCCAGTGCGTCCCAACGATGTCGAAATAGATGAGGGCGATGATGATATAGAAGACTATGATGAAAATGTCGTGAGAAGGAAGCGTCATTCGGTGAGAAGACTTTAAGAGTGAAACATAGCGGATAACAATCAGTTTGGAGAAGATCCGGGAAAATAAAATTATTAATGTTATTCATAAAATCTTATTTATTTATTAGTATTTATTAATTATTTATTCAATAATTTTTGTTTTAATTTAATTTTTTTTTATTTATTTATTCACGCCATTCTTATAATTTGTTTAATTTTTTAAATAAATTTAATAAACATTTTTATCATCACCAAACGGTAGTAAATGTGATTTTAATGATAATAAGAAGTGAACTAAAACTGAACTAGAACTGAACCAGAATTGAACGTGAACTGAACTGGAACTGAAATAGAACTGAACTAGAATTAGAACTAGAACTGAACTAGAACTGAATTAGAACTGAACTAGAACTGAACTAGAACTGAACTAGAACTGAACTAGAACTGAACTAGAACTGAACTAGAACTGAACTAGAACTGAACTGGAACTGAGAACTGAACTGACTAGAACTGAACTAGAACTGAACTAGAACTGAACTAGAACTGAACTAGAACTGACTAGAACTAGAACTGAACTAGAACTGAACTAGAACTGAACTAGAACTGAACTAGAACTGAACTAGAACTGAACTAGAACTGAACTAGAACTGAACTAGAACTGAACTAGAACTGAACTAGAACTGAACTAGAACTGAACTAGAACTGAACTGAACTAGAACTGAACTAGAACTTAACTAGAACTGAACTAGAACTGAACTAGAACTGAACTAGAACTGAACTAGAACTGAACTAGAACTGAACTAGAACTGAACTAGAACTGAACTAGAACTGAACTAGAACTGAACTAGAACTGAACTAGAACTGAACTAGAACTGAACTAGAACTGAACTAGAACTGAACTAGAACTGAACTAGAACTGAACTAGAACTGAACTAGAACTGAACTAGAACTGAACTAGAACTGAACTAGAACTGAACTAGAACTGAACTAGAACTGAACTAGAACTGAACTAGAACTGAACTAGAACTGAACTAGAACTGAACTAGAACTGAACTAGAACTGAACTAGAACTGACTAGAACTGAACTGAACTGAACTAGAACTGAACTAGAACTGAACTAGAACTGAACTAGAACTGAACTAGAACTGAACTAGAATTGAACTAGAACTGAACTAGAACTGAACTAGAACTGAACTAGAACTGAACTAGAACTGAACTAGAACTTAACTAGATCTGAAACTAGAACTGAACTGAACTAGAACTGAACTAGAAACTAGATGATGAATTTAATTATAATAAATGAGTACTGAGCCTTAATTTTAAAATGGTCCTTCGCACCTCAAGACCCAAATCTTGCCCAGTATATAGGTATTTTTTCAAAAAAATATCCTTATTATTTTTATATCTTTTAAGTCTTAATCTGATAAAGTATGTATTATAATTCATTGGTAGGTGCTAGCACCACTTGTTGCATCAATTATAAAAGTCTATTATTCTGTACTTTATGTGTTTTTTGCCTCTAAACACCTTAACATATCCTTTATGTGTTAATGGTGTGAAATATGCAGTGCATATTACAGCTGAAGTACCTTTATTTAAGCCATTAAGGCTAAACAAGTGCAGGCACTTTAACACTTGTAATGTATATGTTATGCCAACATCATCCGCAACATCTTCATAGCCTTCAATGAGGGGATCCCTAAGAGTGCATTGAAAATTCAACAGGATGCAAACAAGGAAATGTTGTATGAAATGCATGCAATTTATATAAAAAAAACCTAACACAACATGTAGCTACGTGCAGGGTTCTTATTTTTCATTCCTTTTTCTACTATAGACTGCATCGTTATTATCAAAAAGGATCTAAATAAGAGCAGCATTACTTTTTTTGCAAGGATTCCATATTCATATTCATGTGGCTTTAACAAATGCACATGCTGCATATATGCATTCATTACTTTGAATGCAAAAATTCTATTATAAATGAATGGTTGGTTTGACTTGGTCTGGCTTGACTGATGCATTTTATGGTAGGGATTTTTTTATTCAAAGGACTTTATTTCCAGTACAATGCTATGAAAATACAAGCGCATACAAAAATAAAGGCTTAAAGTACTTTAGAGGTATTGAAAAAGAGCTAATATGTATAAAGATAAAGTAAAATGTTTTTTTGCTGGATTTTTAGTTGATAGCACTTGAGTTATGATGATGAAATAATATTAAGTTAATTTTTTACACTTGAATAAATACACAATGAATTGGAAGGATAAAGAAGAGCTAATTCTGGGAAGTTCTAAAGGTAAGTATGATAAAAAAGGGAGATAATTATAACAACCATGTTAAAAGATGGTCCTTTGGTGCGAAGGACCATTTAAAGAATTTAAGTTCTAGTTTTGTTCTAGTTCTGTTCTAGTTCTGTTCTAGTTCTGTTCTAGTTCTGTTCTAGTTCTGTTCTAGTTCTGTTCTAGTTCTGTTCTAGTTCTGTTCTAGTTCTGTTCTAGTTCTGTTCTAGTTCTGTTCTAGTTCTGTTCTAGTTCTGTTCTAGTTCTGTTCTAGTTCTGTTCTAGTTCTGTTCTAGTTCTGTTCTAGTTCTGTTCTAGTTCTGTTCTAGTTCTGTTCTAGTTCTGTTCTAGTTCTGTTCTAGTTCTGTTCTAGTTCTGCTCTAGTTCTGTTCTAGTTCTGTTTCTAGTTCTGTTCTAGTTCTGTTCTAGTTCTGTTCTAGTTCTGTTCTAGTTCTGTTCTAGTTCTGTTCTAGTTCTGTTCTAGTTCTGTTCTAGTTCTGTTCTAGTTCTGTTCTAGTTCTGGTCTAGTTCTGTTCTAGTTCTGGTCTAGTTCTGTTCTAGTTCTGTTCTAGTTCTGTTCTAGTTCTGTTCTAGTTCGTTCTAGTTCTGTTCTAGTTCTGTTCTAGTTCTGTTCTAGTTCTGTTCTAGTTCTGTTCTAGTTCTGTTCTAGTTCTGTTCTAGTTTCTGTTCTAGTTCTGTTCTAGTTCTGTTCTAGTTCTGTTCTAGTTCTGTTCTAGTTCTGTTCTAGTTCTGTCTAGTTCTGGTCTAGTTTCTCTAGTTCTTTCTAGTTCTGTTCTAGTTTCTGTTCTAGTTCTGTTCTAGTTCTGTTCTAGTTCTGTTCTAGTTCTGTTCTAGTTCTGTTCTAGTTCTTTTCTAGTTCTGTTCTAGTTCTGTTCTAGTTCTGTTCTAGTCTGTCTAGTTCTGTTCTAGTTCTGTTCTAGTTCTGTTCCTAGTTCTAGTTCTGTTCTAGTTCTGTTCTAGTTCTGTTCTAGTTCTGTTCTATTTCTGTTTCTAAGTTTCTGTTCTAGTTCTGTTCTAGTTCTGTTCTAGTTCTTGTTCTAGTTCTGTTCTAGTTCTGTTCTAGTTCTGTTCTGTTTCTGGTTCTAGTTCTGTTCTAGTTCCTGTTCTAGTTCTGTTCTAGTTTCTGTTCTAGTTCTAGTTCTAGTTCTAGTCTCTGTTCTAGTTCTGTTCTAGTTCTGTTTCTAGTTCTGTTCTATTCTGTTCTAGTTCTGTTCTAGTTCTGTTCTAGTTTCTGCCTAGTTCTGTTCTAGTTCTAGTTCTGTTCTAGTCTGTTCTAGTTCTGTTCTAGTTCTGTTCTAGTTCTGTTCTAGTTCTGTTCTAGTTCTGTTCTAGTTCTTGTTCTAGTTCTGTTCTAGTTCTGTTCTAGTTCTGTTCTAGTTCTGTTCTAGTTCTGTTTCTAGTTCTGTTCAAGTTCTGTTCTAGTTCTTTTCAAGTTCTGTTCTAGAATTCCCACGCTTAATGGTCAGTTTTTCTCAAACCAGTTTTTCTAAACTGCAATAAAACACCACAAGCTAAATCCATAAACCCCTTGTCACAGCCCATCATTTAAAAGTCATTAAACTGTGTGAAATTTAATAGATACTGCTAAACAAATAAAATCATCTACCTTTTCACAAATTAACAAAAAAAAAACAAGGTGTGAATAAATATTGACCAAACAATTTGCATAAATTTGTAGTTTTTTTCACTACTGACCAACCATAACAGACAATTATATCAAAAAAAAAATATAATCAAGTAACAAATGACCATTCGAAAACAAGGATGAGCATAATTTAAGGATGATGATAAATAATAGTCCGCATAAACTGTCTATTGTATTGGATAATAAGGGTTGTTAAGTTGCTTGACCATCAACTGAAAGGGAAACTGACCATTACTAAAAACTTCCCTTTTTTTCATTTGAGCAAGCAACAGATACTTTGTTTAGCAACAATTTATCAGGAAATTGGAAAAAAGGACATGAAGCGTTATACAAACAAATATTGAAAAAAAAAAATCATAATAAAATTACTTAATGGTCAGTGATGTGATTTGTCATGATACAAGAGGATTTCTTGTTTTTTTTTTTCAATTTTATTTGTATTTATTTCCAGCCCCTTTAGGCTTAATATGACGTGTGGTCAGTTAAATCCCTGGAGGTTTGTTGCTTTTATATAAGTGCTTGTTTCCGTGTAAAAAGATAATAAAGGGAGATTTTTTTTATTTAAATGACTTTGTGTCATTTGAGTACCAATATTTTGATTAGTTTTATGTGTTTTTTATATTTGTGTTAAAAAGCGGAAAATCTTCTTTAGGTATTTTACGTATCTTATTACTTTTATTGACTTTAGGCTAATAGTTATATTTGATTGAATTTGGAGGCGATTTTGACATAAGTTTTTGGTTAGGAAAATATGTGTGGAAAATAAGAAAATAAATAGAATTATATATGTCAAAATATTAGTTAAAAAACATCTTGAATTTCTTATAAATTTGTGAAAATAAGTATTTTGTGCTTAAGGGGACCAAAGACCACTTTTTGTTAACTACGTTTTATTGGAACTGTGAGCATTTTGTGGTGTTTTGACATAAGTTTTGGACTAGAAATGAAATACAACATGACTTTCTTATAAATCAGTAAATTTTTTGGGGGGGGACCCAAGACCGCTTCATCTAAAATGTGTTATTTTAACATTATAATATTTTCTTTAATATTTTAATTAAATATATATCTACATATAATGAACAACGATCCAATTTATGGCGTTTATACCCCATGGCCAAAAAATCTCCTTATCTTAAAACAAATATTTCAATCAAAAATATCTTTGCACCTTTCATTCACATGCTTAGATTTAATTTCCACATTATATGCTATTACATATTTGTATATGTTCTTATTTA